GTATTTGTCTTGTTTACATGAATATGGTCTTTTTATTTGTCCTGAAGTGTACAATAATAAATAATTTAATAATAACTATTTTTTTGGTTTTACAATGTCACCTCCACTGACCGTAAAGGTTTCTGAAAAGTCCTTGAAAAGGCCCACGGACCACCAGTTGATAATCACAGTTGTAGCTTGTTTTGCGGTTCTGGACACATTTTAATATGGAGACAAGGAACACAAACGGCTTTTTTGATCGTTAAGGTTGCAGACCCCTGCATTAGAGGATATTCAGTGTTTTTATCATGTGTTCATTCTAATGCCCTGTTAGTGCTGACTTTAGWTGTGGTAATGACATAATTTATAGACCTACTGTAATGTAGAATATGTTGTTTTTATCTGCTCACACAGCAGTTTAAATAATTATTTAAAGAAGTTCTTTTCGAGCAAGCTCCACTGGTTGTTTCATTTTCCTACAGACAGAGTAGATTAGCAATCATTAAAACACTTTCTTAGTTCAGATGCCRACCATCTCTCAGGTCAAGCTTCGTTTATTTTAAATATAGAGAACTAAAGGAGTGGAAACGATCCAGTGAGCCGACCGTCTGACAGAAGTAATGTGAGCAGAGAGACATCTTTTCAGACTGAAGTAGTGTTTTACTCTGCTCCTCTCCCCGCTCAGGTTCTCCGTACAGAGATGAGATCACTCTGGGGATTTTACAGATGCAGGAGAGCAACAGGCTGGAGATCCTGAAGAGACGCTGGTGGGAGGGAGGACAGTGCCCCAAAGAGGAGGACCACCGAGCCAAAGGTGGGCTTTTCAGCTTTTTACATGTCAGCCTTGCAAAGGCCTTTTTATAGAGTCAGTATTTAAAGTTTTATTTATCATTAAACCACTCTGTTACACTTTTATTTCTATTTTCACCAGTGTGTGCAACAAATGTTTTACAAAATAAACCTATTTTTTTTTCTTTTTCTAATGTCTCATTTTCAATCACTTTTTGTTAGAAAAAAAATATTGGGTGACCAAATAAAATATGTGGATTAGCTTTTAGGTAGTTGGTAATCAAAATGGTATTACATTAAAAAAAAGTTATTGACTGTAGTCAGCTGGTCTGTCTTTTTTAAATGCATTGATATTAATATMGAAGTACTCCAGTTTTGTCCCACAGAACAAAAACAAGCAAGTTAAATTATTTGGTGATTAGAGTGTGTCTCATTTGTCTCCATGTGTCCCTGTGATGGACTTGAGTCCTGTCCATGGTGTCCCCCGTTCCTCCACAGTGACTGCTGGAGTTAAGCTCCAGCTCCCAGTGACCCAGATAGAAAAAAGTGGGTGACAAAGATGGATGGATCGTTCTATTTTTATGTAACACTTTATCCCCCCTCAAAAAAAAAAAAGATTTAAATCATGAGAATTGTTRATTTGTTTTTGTGTCAAATGACAAACTGCGCTACAATCAAGATTAAGTAAACGCACCTGGCTGCATGATGAAAGCAGTCATTGAGTGACAGATCAACACATTAAATCTCCACGCACGGACTGGAGCTACCATTCAGCCGAGCCCTGAAACTGAGACAAACTGCCGGGACAGATGGTGCAGTCCTTAAAAATGTGCCACAATTAGTCTTTAACTGGTCAAAACGGAGCCCGGTTCCACCGGAGTCAACACTTTGCAGGAAGACGGATGTTGCCAGATGTTCTGTAGTGGTGTGTTTAACACCGTGTGTTTTTGGAAGATATGCAGGTTTGCTGCTACAGTCAGAAATGTTTTATATGATTAATGGCAAGAAATGTAAGTGAAACTAATGTAGGAATGAGAGGCAGAAAGTTACGTTTTTCAACATTTTATAAGGATGTTTTTTTTTTTCAGATTTATTGATTTGTAATCATTAAACGTGGGCACACACTCAATGTAAATAAAACTCTGCTGAATTTGGCACAAAATAAAAACTTGCACAGTAGAGGGTTGAGTCACATGACTGACATTAGTCTGGCTGTAAAGTTTAACACATCTGGTAATAATAACAGCAAATAAATATCAAAACCTGTCAGTATTTGTGTTTTCTACCTTAAAGTGAAATTTCTTTTTTCTTTTTTCTTCTTTTTTTGTGTGTATTTCAAATGGTTTACATTTCATTTGAGGTGGGACATGACATAAAAAACATTGACATGACATATTTTTTTACTAGATGTCCCAATTTCTCCATCTGTCCATTGATTTTACAGAATGACATTTTTTATCCTTCTGGTCAACACAGTTCATTTTACGTCGGCTGTTTTCTCGCTGTAACGAGACAATAGGTGTGACTTTTTTTCTCTCTGATTAGGTCTTCAGCAGCTGATCATAGATCTCTTGTTCAGCCTGTGTATCGATGAGCTGTCATTTGTTTGTGCAGCTRTCTTCATTCCTGGATCAGGAAAAAAAAAGTCCCTGAAGATTTCTCTCCCTTGTTCCATGTATTGTGAGGACGATAATGAGTTGTTTAAAAGTCAGCGTACCAGGGTTAAAATCTTTTCAGTTGCAGGTTTTGAMTATTTGTTTGAAATCAACTCAATACAGTGTCCTCAAACTTGAATTTKTGTTCGTGTAAACTGTAACAAAATCAAGTCATTAAGGTGCTGTTCAGTCTCGTGGAGTGGGTTTTTGCTGCTGATTACAGAGTAAACAAACTGTTTGATTGTATGTTTCAGTGTGTTTATGCAAGTCATCCAAATATGGAAGTATTTAAGATCTTTTTTTCTTGAAGAAAAACAAAAATAAATTTAAGAAAACAGGGCATTTTATTTAAATCCAGTCTTTCTTTGCAGAACAATTCCAAGCACTGCAGATCTAGTTGTTACTCTGAGCGCTTGTGTGTAAGCAGTTGAAAGGCTTGAGTTTGACAGCAGCTGGGATGAAGGACATGCAATATCACTCTTTCACACATTTGGAGTGCCACAGCCTGTCACTGCAGAAGCTCTTCAGTGCTGTCACGATCTCACACGGGTTAAGAGACGGTAAAGATAGCGTGGCAATTTCCCATCGCTCACCACSCGCACTGGGCTGAAGGGAGCCCAGGATGAAACGTATCTCCCCGACCAGTTTAGTGAGTCTCTTACCTTCAGCAGTCGAAATGCTGCTGACCTCTCCAAAAAAAAAAAAAAAGAAAAAAAAAGGAAAAGAAAACAGAATCAGAAATTACTGTCAGGTATGCATGCTGCACTGCGAAAAAAATACAAATAAAACATCTGACTCCTCTCAGCAGACTCATTTGCTCTGACACTTGYTGTAAAACATATTCAGGTTAAGTGTCAAGTCTAGTGGTTTTTAAATTTACCTCTTAAGGCCCTGCCACACTAGACAACTTATGCCAACTTATGAATTATTTTTATGTCTAAATTGCTAATAAAAGTTAAATATTTGATCAATTTGTTCAAATTGCATTATGTACACGCAGAAAAGTTGCTTTCTGATGACTGTTACAATTCCATCCTCAATGTAGACGTCTTTAAAAATGTTTATAGGTTGAGATAAATTGTCCAGTGTGACAGGGCCTTTAAGAACACATGTTCTCACAATGCAGGGTCTCTGCAGTACATGTCCTGTGGGCTGACTTGGGCCTACCTGTGATTGGCAGAGGTTTTGATGTGGGCGGAGTTAGCCCTACCTGTGATTGGCAGAAGTTTTGATGTGAGCCAAGTTGGCTCTACCTGTGATTGGAGGTCTTGATGTGGGCAGAGTTAGCCCTACCCATGATTGGCAGAGGTCTTTATGTAGGCGGAGTTGGCTCTACCCATGATTGGTGGAGGTCTTGATGCGAGCCAAGTTAGCTCTACCCGTTATTGACGGAGGTCTTGATGTGGGTGGAGTTAGCCCTACCCGAGATTGGTGGAGGTCTTGATATGGGCTGAGTTAGCCCTACCTGTGATTAGCAGAGGTTTTGATGTGAGCCAAGTTGGCTCTACCCGTGATTGGAGGTCTTGATGTGGGCGAAGTTAGCCCTACCCATGATTGGCAGAGGTCTTTATGTGGGCGGGGTTATCCCTACCCGTGATTGGTGAAGGCCTTGATGTGGGCAAAGTTAATCCTACCTGTGATTGGTGAATTTGATTTGATTTTTTTTTGTTTGATTTATTTATTTAACAGGAAAAGATTACTAAAAATCAAGCCTGACTCAGCATAATTGCTGTTTTACAGCA